TTYMWWAATAAAGCAGGATTTTCGACTAAAACATGAGCCAAATAATGTCAAATAGAAAAGYCTTGCTTACAGAAGACTAATTTTCTTCATTCATGATGATGACACCTAAATTGATTTTCAAAACTCAACGCAGAAATCGTTCAAGTTTCATGTAGCCACGGGCAACTGTACGTTTGGTATGCATTAATGCTTTGAAGTTGTGTCATTCTTACGATAAAAATTAACTGTCATGAACGCGAACTGAAGTGAAAAATGACAGTTTGAATCAAACAGTGAATGTTGACTGTTTGGATCAAGTTGAGTGTTTTTGGCATGTATTAAAGCAAAGGCTCACAGCAATGAACTTCATTCCCTGACGCGCACTTCGCGGATTCTCTTTTTTGATTGACGAAATGCGCGCGTTTTTGAAGCATCATTTATTAAAAGACTAAAAAATAGAACATTACACGCTTTTTACAGTCACTCAATTATTAATAGCTTGGTTATCTGGCGAACAAATTGCGATATTTTTACTTGCTTCTTATGTTCTGCCATCACAAACCATTARGTATATCAGATTCTTGTTCATTCGCTCACRACGACTGCTCATTGTAAGCATTTGRTCATTTTTGGCAATTTTAGTGATGATCTCCTTAATTCCCTGATTTTTTGTTATTCTTCAGTGCATTGATCAATTCCCTTTTGTATAGCAATTTACGCGTTTACTCGAAACAAGCAAAACCTGCACGCAATCACAAAAGATCTGGTGAATCAAGCATGGCAAATATAAGCCCATAATTATAGAGAACAATACCTTAGCTACGATGGCTGTGATCCTCTTAGATTACCTTTACTTTCAAACCAATTTACATCAAGAACTGAATAACTCAAATCCTTCTCTTCCGACACTTTCTTGACACTCTRTGGATTTCGATTTTATCGTTGCCAGGTAACAAGTAAACAACCTTTAATCTTTTTAAAGATTATGCGATACTGTTTCGATTTACAGGTAAGACCGCATACTGCCCATACTAGTATTGATAGCTAAAAGTCGTGTAGTCGGCTCATTCATGTAGAAGTCTTCTCCCATCAATCTCTAATATTGAGCATGAGTTTAAACGAATTTTAATTGATTGCATGCACGCGAATGTAGATTCGTGTGGCTTGCCGTGGTCAAATCAATTTTCATTACAAGATTTAAATCTTCGTATATCCGGGTGGGGTTATCATCTGGTATCTAATCTCTATGATAGCTGCGATGCGCTCTTTGTCAGACGAGTCCGTCCAACTAGGCTTGCAGCTTACATCAAGCTGAGATTCAACAATGCCCAAATAGTTGCCCATACCTGATCAATTTATACTCATTGCAATTAATTTTCTTAGAAATAATTACTAGAATTGATACACAGTAGAAGTGAGCTCCAGTTTCTCTGAGATAATTTTAAAATTAGTTAATTATATTAATTGTTCCACTGGTCATTGAAAAGCATTGTTGTATTGAAAYGATTCCGTGTTTATTATGTCATTGTTATTGTTATTATCATAATGATTATTATTTTTGGAAGGAACAAAAGGTGCGCTCTCTTGCTTTTTCGACTTATACAGCAATACCAAATCGCAATTTGAGAARTATTTTTTCGCACGAAGCCAGTCTAGGGGTRCATCTTCTTTGCAGGACTTGCAGGTGGAAATTGTTCAGTCAGAATTTGCACGAAGGTATTTTGTTGCTTATTTGCTTACCACAAGACTAAGCAGAGTGCTTGACGCACTGGGCTTCTAGATTGTTCTACTTATACCTAAGTGCTACATAMGTTTGGCAGAGTTTAGAAAGCAAGTAAGTTTTTTTATGCAACCTATTTTAAATTAAATAATTAAAATATTGGAGTTATTATAAGTCATTTTGTGGTTATCTTCATTATTAAAATTGTTATCATCATCATCACTTTAAAAAGACAATGATGATATTTATCATTTTGTAAAATGAMGCAGTAAACTGATCTTTAAGCCAGTGATCTTGATTACCTGATGCAGATTTTAGAGCGTGCATCGTAGATAAGCTTCTCCTTCACATTTGGTATTGATGAGATTATGCTTTGCAAGGTTAAGAGACTCACTCATCAGCTAATGGCCAGGCCAACAATACTATTACATCACTCATGCTGGTGCGAGTTCAATGAGCTTGCTGCATCAGTCCCCCAACTTGAAAGGGCCAAACTTAGTGGGAGAAACTTTCAGTTTACACGAAAATAAAGGTTTACGAGGTCGTTTTTCGTTGTTTGTCAAAAGCTTTGGAGTTAAATGATTCTGATGAATGTTCAATTTTTTATTCAATCTCATCATTTAAGCCGAATACAATGTTGTATAAAAAGAAAGAAATCACGTGAATAACATGTGACATAAGACTACGTCACGTGACACAATCTCATCAACAACAATGTTCACTTCTATGTGGTTTTTAATCTTATCGCTCGGTTGTAGAAACAAATGACTTTTGACCTAAAGCAAAGCTGTATCTTTTGCGTGCAAACCATTTTTCACGTACGTACTTCACACAGGCAGCTTAACCTCGTTATTAACCTTCTTGCGTAATGTGATCTGATCGTTCTATTTTTGCCTAGTGTTCATCTATCATGGTAAACAGATCCAGCCCAGACTTATTCCTGCTATATTTGCTATGAAGAAAGGCAAGAACTTTATATTTTAAACGAAACTGAGATTTCCGTTCAAACCTTTTAATGGTTTTAGTCTTAAGACTTAGGTGACGTCATGAGATACCAAGTGAAAGTCACATGTCTGTACAATATCTAATTGTGACAATGGCTTCTCTTGTGTTGCTTGATCAAGTTCGTGGCATTCCCTCAGGTTATAAATCCTGACTCATCACACACGATGATAAACAAAAGGACCCACAGCTTAGGCCTATAATAGTGTTATGTTCTGTCTATGCTTTAGTTTACGACGACWGTAATGAAATTTCCATTCTGTCCGGCCCGTGTGAACAGGGGACTAAAAAAAGTACTGTCAAAAGCTAAAAACTTTTATAAAAGGAATTAATAGGTAAATGGAATGCATTTTCGGAATATTCTCTTTTCTTCGCATTGGCATCATTACTTGATAAATGCGACAAAAGAAGACTGCGTGGGCTTCCTGTGCACTGTTTTTCAAAAATCCCAAACAGTGGTGAAAGAAGATTCAATAAAAGATTTGAACCAACTGTTTATAATCCGCCGATACAGTCATTGGGAATATGACAAAGATTTTTGATAATTCGCTGTTTTAATTTACTAGTGTACGATATCATGAGGAATTCAGTTTGGGCGAGGTCCCCATCAGAATCAATATTTGTTCGGGATTTTTGGATAATCATTTGATCCYAAGTTGACATTTCAGGCATAGTTGGAATTTGCCTGGATAAACACTCGCTTTATATTCTTCAAGGGCTCGCCTTAACGAGAAATCTAACATTTTCTCGTTTGGCTACCTTTTGTGATGATAGAGTCAATGGCGGATCAAAAACATTAAAATGAGAAAAATCAAATAGTAATTTTTGTCAAATAAACGCTGCTTTAGATGTTTGYTCCATTGAGATTTAATTTCTTTGATTCATTTAATGTCTATTCTATAATTTTGTATTTTTTTTAGATCCGCCCTTGAGAGTATACTATCTAGTTGATGCTCAAACATTGGTTCCGTTATTTTGATCCGTGCTGTGGTTGCTCAAAGCAAGGCAACAATAAACTAATCGCGCCTTCAAATTCAGATGTGCTTACATCTAAACCTTTKTATTCACGGGTCCAAAGTGGCATTGTGTAGGAACTCCAACTCCGCTAATTCTAAATATTCCTGGCAATTTAAATCATCTCATTCTCGTTTATACATTTTCTTATAAATTTGATCTTTTATTGTACAAATCTCAGTTTTGTATTTACAAGACGTTGCCACTTCAATGTTGTTGTTTTTATACAAGCGTCAYAAMGTTTCAAATGTTGAATGATTGAAGGACATAAAACTTCATCCAAATGATGTTCTCACCAAGCAGCTTTAAATGCAATGTTCAGCTTGTAAGGTTGTCACAGTAATGTGATCCACTTTTTTGGTCGGAACTTTAGATTTATAATTTCTGCTTGGAACGCAGCTCAAAAATACTCAAAGCTTTATAGAAATCTTTTGGAATTCAAGATGGCGGACATATTCAAAATCTCTAGTATTGTAGTTACATTATATACAAGATGGACTTTTTCTATGATAATATAATATTTTCTTATAAAGAGATGATCGATGTGCTTAGAAAGATTTTTAGACATTCAGGTATCAAAACATTCTTGCAGACTTTCCATGGACATGCACGCATTTTACCGTCCGATTATTCTTGTGTGTGATTTCCTATAGGACAACAATAACTTAGTATTAATTATAGTATGTGTACAAAGATCATCTGTAAGTAGCCCCAGGCGTTTGTGCTTGACTCTTCTTCCGTACGTTGGGTGTACTTTTCGAAGCTCTRGAGGATTCTACTTCATGTGGAATGTTTCCTGTAGACCTTGCTTTTAACGTTCCAGTACCAGTCTTCAACGTTGACGATGTTGACTTWGACGTCCCTGTCCCTGTTCGAGTTGACACCCCTGASGTCGAAGAACTTCGTCTTCCCTTTCCATGYTTTGTTTCATCAAGTTTCACATCATCGCCAACCGTTAGTTTCTTATCGTTAACGAACTTCACCATCCAATCAGGCATCTCACCATTTCCCTTTTTAACTTCCTTTTTGTTTTCTTTTGTCTTTRCAGTTGGTGCAGCAGGAAGGTTCTTTACTTTAAGCTTTTTAATGTCMCCTTTCGATTGTTTTCTTTGTTCAGAAGCTCGTCGTATGGTAGTCGGGGTGCCTGGGGCAATAAACTGTATGAAGAGAGAATGGATCAATGAGTGGCTTACGCGAGATTATCACTGAAAATATTCTCGTTGACATTTGGAGAAGAAAAGAATACATTTTATGGTCAAAAAAGCCTGTTATTACCGCAGGAGAAGCAAGTATTATGACTGAATAGTTTGAAGTTTGTTCAATTTTCTGAAAACGGAACTCCAGCAATCAACTAATCCCTGCTTATTCCAAATTAGCACCAACTTGAATTCGTAACTGAATGTCAGCGGTCTTACCAGGTCTGGGACCCTWGGGTTTTTGTCTTGTTTGTCACGTGATTCTTGGGCATTATATGGTCTCACAGCGTTATGCCCAGGTGCAGGACTACTCGGCCGCATGTTRTAGCGACTTGAATATGGCCGTTCCCCTGATCGTGCACTCGTTGGTCTGTGACCTAGTGAGACACAASAASAATGTACMTTTGAAACAAGTATTGAATGCAATCAACATGCAAATTATAATCATATTCAACGACTTCCTTACGATTCTCAATACAAAGGTTGACATCACTGAAAGGTTGCTTGGTTTTCTTCAAAATGGCCGTCATCTTCAGAAGGTTCAAGCAAGTTCTGAACCGGTTCGAGGGAAGTGTGGATAGTTCAGCATCGAATCATATAACTTCCTTTACACGATACCCATTATTTACTTCAACAATAACCCTTATATCATTTGCATGATTTGTTTCCCTAGAATTATCACGGCTTTTATTAAGTTCTAATAAAAGCAAACGCGATGCAATTCAAGAGGAGTTTTTATCGTTTTTAAAATGAACTGATTACCTTGTTCATCAGCGAATTCGGCTTCTTCTGGAAACACGGAGTCTCTGTATTTGAGRCAAAAACGGAGTTCATTATAGAAAATATAGGATAAGAAGCAGAGGTGGAAATCAAAGAGAAGAAACAAAGTTGACAGATTACCTTGTATCTCCACTAGTTTCCAAACCTAATGTACTCTGAACCAATAAAAAAAGTATAAGTGCAATCAGAATGAATCTAAATGTTTAAAACAGTTTGAAGTCTTGCATATGACGATAAAAAAAACAGATCCAACTGATAGACTAGATACACTAAATATTAGGAGGAGCCGACGGGTTCCTGGGAGAAATATATCTGTTCTTATGTCCCAGCCAGCTGTAAGTCACAATTGGTTGCCATGCGAGAAATTCAGGAAAAAAAGAACTCTCTAGGCAAGGAGTACTTTCTAAGAATTTTTGCCAGGAAAATAAAAAACAGAATACAAGTCGTTTTTGACCATAAAAACGTTATAAAAGCCTTTTTGACCTTAAAAACGTTTGCCAGGAACAAAATTATTTTAAAGAAGGAAGGGCGCCACATT